ATTCCATTCACCTTCTCCAGTGGAAACTTCTTCTCCAAAAATCATTTGACAGCTATCAGTTATTCAGCTTTTCAATTTTTGAGGCAGGGTTTCACTACGCAGCTAAGGCTGGTCTTGAACTTACTACGTGGCACAGGCAGGCCTTAAGCTCAGGGCATCGTTCCGGCCTCAGCCCCCTGAGTGCTGGGATACACACATACGTCACCATGCCTGGTTTCAACTAGTTGGTTTTAATCTTTCAAATTCATTTCTGCACAATAAATCATATGAAAATATATAATATGAATATCCACAAATGTGCATGATAAGGATTAGAGCCAGAACATAGTTGTGATAGGCATTATACATTGTTACATTATTATTCAGCCTTAACTAGTTCAAATTTTGTATCGGTTACAAGTGACTCACTTCGTTGTCTCTGATACAAGATTTCCTATTAAAGCTAAACTTAATGAACTTTGGGGAAAAAATTGACCCTAAGACCTATAATAACTCTCTAGTGAAATGTGTTCATTAAAACTCTTTTTTACATTAAAACTGGAAGTTTTATGCAGTTTCTTTTTCCTTCTTGAAAATGATGTAACTGAATTTATTTCCAGTTGGTAAATCCCACTTCTTAAATTATAATAACGCAATGCCACATTGCAGTGCGTGCCCCTGGCGTCCACACTGCGTCCAGGGGGCAACCAGATAGCCAGGGAGATTTGGGGGACCACAAAGAGGGCTAACAATGCAGATCATACCACTAGAGTGTCAATGGATTAATTATAAATGTATTAGTGTAATAAACATTAAAATTTAAAAATCTAAGTATCTTTCATATTTATGTGGCATTCAAGCTTACCAAATACACAGCATGCTTGTATATCTTTCTGGCTAGAGGCAGTGCTCCCACTTAGATGAGAAAGCTGGGTGTAAAGGTCATGTGGGGCCTGCTGTAGGCGCAGCTGGACTGTGCCCAATCCACTTAAGTAACCTGGGAACTTTGCTGAGTTCCCTTCCTGGCACAGCTCTGAGTTTCGTATGGCCCACAGGGAACTCCAGGTGAGAGCTGGGTAGCAGCAGTGAGGCAGCAGCTCGGGTTGGCGGTGTCGTCTCAGGGTGACATTCAGGGCAAAGGCATCCAGATGGGTTCCTGCCGTGGGCCACCACCCAATGCTGCCGTAGGTAACAGCCACAGCACAGTGACCACATTCTGTGGAGCACCCCTGTCCTGCTCCTTTGACTTGGTGTGTTTGGTGGTTTTGGCTTCTCTGTGAGCCCTGGCTTGTCTCCCAGGCTGGGGGTTGTGCACTCGCTTCAGCCTCTTGTCCACAGCATTCATCAAGACTGCCCTCCTGCATGAGCAGGACCAGTGCAGCCACTTCGGCTTTACTGATGAGAAAGCCAGATTTCCTCAAGGGTCTGCAACTCTGATTCTTATTTCAGGGCTTTTTCCAATCGATTAGAACATCTCTGAAAGGCTACAGTTAGCTTATTATATTTCAGTACTGTTTGTACTGGTGGTGTCTATTGTTTTTCAACTTTGTTTTGGGACCAATAAAGCTTCCATGAAAATTAAAATGCCACTGCACTCTACTGGTAATGGACACTTTCAAGTGTTTATTAGAGATACATAAATTTGCTCAGCAAAGAATTCAAAGTCCATGGAACTAGAAAAGATTTAAGACACATCTAGGTGATCATGTGGGTTAATGTAGGAAGGGCATGGATATGGCATGAGGAAAGGCACGAAGGGCTTGGGGGATTGCATGCAGCTACCAAGATGGAGTCACAAAAGCAGGGTATGCGGGTGGGTAGAACTGGGCTGGGGGCCCGGGGCAGGGAGGTATGGCCAGGCATACAGAGCCTTGGACCTCACGCGGACCTGCGGGGATCTGAACCTTGTCTGCGTGCTTAGGAGAGGAGGAACCCAGCAAGGTTGGCAGGAAAGTTGCCCCAGCAGTAGCGGTAGCGCAGAGAAGAAACTCAGGAACATCAAGCCAGAGGCAGGAAGGCTTCGCCGCCTGCCAGGATGAGATCCCCAGGAGGCGTTTAACAATCTTACACCGGCTGTGCTGTACTTCATATGAAATGGCGACAACCACACCCTTAGACCACTACTGTCACTTATCGACTCCCCTCAGGTTCTGTGGACCTTCTTTCTTATCTGTGAAAATTGTTTGAAGTCTCCTTAGAGGGCCGGGGAAATAGCTTAGTAGAGTAAGTGCTTGCCTGGTAAGCACAGGGTGCTGAGTTCAATCCCTGATACCACAAAAATAAAAATAAAATAAAATGAAGTCTCCTTAGAGGATGAAAGTTAAGTGTGTATATCACACACACACACACACACACACACACACACGCTCATCTGCCCACTCACAACACATAGCCACACCAACGCACAGGAATGGTTATCTGCTCTTCATTTTAAAGTTGAGTCTGTATATTATGACCACAGCTAAAAGATTTCCAGAACATAGTTTCTAAGATTGATTTTTTTAAACAAGAAAATTTCTGAATTTAATTCAAAAAAGGAAATCTATGAAAAATGAAAAGCTCTGTAAAATTAACAAAATTCAGTGCAAATTCCTTAGTAATGAGTTTAATTTGTAATTTAGCTGAGTTGAGCAAATGAATGGATCAGTATTGGTTCCCCATTCTTAAAATGCATGTAATAATACCTATCACCAAAGACAAAAGAAGCAGTAACTAATTGACATGTAAAAATAATTTCATTAAGGACAAACTATTACAGTTATGCCTTATTTAACCACCGGTCCGATGACCTTTGGATCTGCGGCCCAGGGCGCTGTTCCGACCCACATCGCCGCGGGACCTCGGGCCCGCTCGCGGAAGGAGCACGGGGAGGCCGGGCAGCGGCTCCTGCAGCGGGCGCCAGATCCTGGCTGACTGTGCGGTGCAGGATAGCAGGCGAGGGCCTGTTTCTGTCCGACGGTACAGCACGGCGCGAAGAGTTACGCAAATCCAAGTGAAGTGGTCAACACGGAGCCCCCCCCCCCCGCCCTGCACGTGGCAGTGTGCACGCAGGTCCCCAGCTAGCGACCCGCTCAGAGACGACCTGCCGGCCGGAGCACGGCTCGGCGTCTGGGCCAGGAGAGCGCGTACAAGCCTGAGCACTCCCGGCTTGCCCGGCTGTGCACAGCGCTGTCCTAGCTGGGCGGCAGGAGCAGCGTGCGGAGGCGGACTCCTCCAGGCAGAGGCCGGCAGGCCGCGAGGAGCCAGCGGGGAGCCGGGGCTGGCCGCTGCAGCCGTGCCCTCGGCCGCCAGCGCAGGCTCCGTGGCTCCGGGAGGCCTGCATCCCACCTGCGGCCAAATCGCGCAGGAGAAGGCGTCACGTAGAGGGATCTCCCGCGGGCCCAGCAGGGACGGGCAGGAGCAGGCTGGATCCCCGACTTCCTCACAGCGGCACTCCGCGAAAACCACGCCAAGCAAGTGGGGTCACCAGGCTTTCTCCCTCCTTGGGAAAAAATATTGTGTATTTCTGGGCCTCACCTTTCTCCTCCTAAGCTAGAGGTTTGAGATGAAATTGTTAAGTTCCTCCTATCGTTATAAATCTGAGTCTCAAGGTACACAAGTCTCTCAAGAAAGCAAAGTGGGGCCCACACCCTGATCCCGCGTCGGACGCTGACCTTAGAAGGGGGCATGCGGGCGAGGGCCAGAATCGCAGATGTGAATGGAAGGAGGCGCCCCTCCTCACGCTGGGCCGGAACCACGTGCACCCCACGCCCGGAGCCTTCAGCCAACCTGCCCCTGCTCTGCGCCCCAACACCACAAATGCCTGCACACATCACACCCACACACCCATGCACGATACCCACACACACAGCCACTCACACGGAACTGAGAAGCGTTTTGGAAACGAGCCAAAGCAAATTCTCCAGGAGCCTAGAAAAAGCGCAGACTGGTTGTGTGCTGGTGCTGTCGTCGGGCTGTCCGACGGAGCCAAGTTTCATGTTGTGTCAAGTTTCAGGTCAAAACATTTACACAAGAGCACCCTGATGCTTGACGGCGCTTTTCCTTGTTACGAAGCCCTCCAAATATTGACCTCCTTGGAAACACATCTTTGTACACTTCATTGCTTTTTATGAATGTCTCTTCTTTGGTTTCTCGAGTTGCCACAGAGTCCACCCTGGCTGCCCCTCCTGAGACCGCCAAGTCCTCAGATCTGCTGCGCATCTTCTGTTGTGGTGACATCATCACTATTTGTTGAGAAAATGATTACGTCTCCAAGGATCCAAGCCCATACACAGTCTATCAACGGAAAATGAGCTGTACGTAAAAGGGATGCAGATTTAAAATAAAGACTGTACATCTCGAAAAGACAAACGAGGAATAGACGCAGTTGAACTGTGAGGAGGAGCGGACGGCCACACCGGCAGGGCAGAAGCACAGGGCTTCGGCGTTTGTCACTGCTTGGCATCTCGTTTCGCAGCCATGTTGTGATATTTCCGGAAACGGTGTAGGAGCTGGGGTCGCCGTCTTTCTGACTAGTTATGGCGCTGCGGCAGCCACCCAGGGCTTGCTGAGCGCCAAGCGCTGCCCGAATCCTTAGAACCGTGATCGCTCCGGCGAGACTCCCCCATCCTGGGGAAAGCCAGCTAGCTTGCAAGGCTCCTCGGCAGCAGAGCGCACCCAACTCTGCAGCCAGCCCTGCACCGTCCCTGACCACCACAAGGCCAGTGCCTAAGCAGGTTCCAGGAACAGAATCGTACACTCAAATTCCTGAGCCGTTTAAATTTTTTTTTGTGTGTGTGTACACGTTGCTCATTTAGAAGGGTAATCAAATATTTAAAATCGTTATTTTTACGTTTCAGTGACAGCCGGAGCACAGGAGGGGTTTTCCTCCTCTTCCCTCCTGCCTTGCCAGACCCCCGGTTCCGGGTGGTGCCGCGGGCAGCACAGCTCCCTGCCGAGCCCGCCTGCCTGCGTGCTCCGGGTGCAGAGACCTGCCCGGTGCCCGCTGCCGGTTCCAGGAGGCCCAGCCCAGCCCTGCCTACCTGTAGTTCTGCTTCTCATTGCCGAGGTGGAACCTGTCATACTGCGAGTGGGCACGGTTGCCCTCCCAGTCCAGCAGCTCGATCCTCAGGGTGTACTGCCTGTGGCTGGTGATGGCGAAGATGAACTCGTTCCCCAGCCAGTGCTCGCCCGACGGGTTCCCGAAGCCCTGCAAGGAGAACGGAGGTGGGTGAGTGGTGGGGAAGCGCACTCCTGGGGCAGGCCCGGGCAACAGGCATCAGCGTCTAGAATATAACGACAGACGAGTCTCTGGATTTTGCAGCCTTTGTTCTCAATCACTAGTGTCCACGCTCTCCTGTGTGTTTCTCTCCATTGAGCCAACAGTCTAATTGTGATTACGTTGAAATTTCCATTAATCTGCTCCACATGGATGAGGTGTTTTTCAATGAAATGAAAGGGGTTGACACATTCAACCAGAAAACACTTGCAAATATTGCTTTTAGAAAAAAATTTCTAAAACATTGGTTAATATCTTTAACTTAAGCATTTTCCAGTGAGTGTTATCAGGGTGGCATCAGAACTATTAACTAATTGTCATGATTACTTTTCAGGAATCTAGCACTGCTCCTGTAACTTTGTGGATTAGCAGACCCATGACTTCAGCAGTCTTAACTTGCTCAACTTTTTCTGGTGATAAGAGCAGACCCGTAAGTCTGCGGCTATAACCGCTCCTGCAGCGTTGGGCGTGGGCTCCCACAGCTGTAGGCAGTGGCTGAGTTCGAAGATGAAGGAGCGACACTGTCTCAGCCACAAGGACTCCACTGAGCTCTTTGGAGAAATCCTGGGTATGGTTGCTAGGTATTCAAGGTAGTTCCTGAGAGAGTAAAAGAAAAAGCGGTCCCCAAATACGGGCTGGCTCTTAATGCTGGCAATATTAGTGACAGGGAAATAAAGAACTAATGGTTCTACGCTTGGGACAGCTGCTGTTGCTTCAGAAAGCAGCCCTTACTTCTACTCAGGGCTAGGTTCCTTTCGGGCTGCAGGTTTCTCTCCTTTCTTGACACAGAGGTCCACGGGCAGTGTCTGTGGAGCGTGCCACACTAAGGCCAGGCTGGCACATACCCAGCACTCAGGCAGAGAGAAGAAAGGAAAAGAAAGGAGAAAGAAGGGAGGGGAGGGGAGGGAGGGGGATGCAGGGAAGGAAGAAAGGAAGGAGAAAGACAAGGGAGGAAGGGGTGGAGAGCAAGGGGAGGAGTGAAGCGGGGAAGGAAGGAGAAAGAGGAGGGAAGGAGGGAGG